TCTAAACTGGTTGAAAAAAATGGTAATAAATGACTTGGAGAACGTACTTGACCATATTATTAATAGTTTAAATGCACAAAATAACATGGGAATTTGGGAATGCCATCAGTTTCTGTACTCTATAAAATTTTAGACTCTGCTTTAAAATTTGTAGCACTTTGTTGCACTCATGAACTCCCAATAATATGGTTTATCTACACGAGACCACACCAATCAACATTCCAGCATGGATGGAGTGAGGACACCAAGGACCCCACCCCTAGATGAAGAGCTACAGGCATCCAGTGGCTACTGAGGGAGTCAGAGTCACTTTTCTTCAAGCCCCCTGATGGATTGCCCATCCCCAGCAGTCAGTTCTCTCTCTCTCTCTCTCTCTCTCTCTCTCTCTCTCTCTCTCTCTCTCCCTCTGTCTAAAACAATAATTATAAAGGACATGAATCAGAGAGGAGGATGTGGGGGACAGGGAAGTCTCCTCACCACACAAGTGCATATGCAAATTCTACTAAGGAGTAGGGGCATATAAGCCACATGGCGGGGGAAGATCTGGGTCAGGATCTGCAAAATGTAAATATGATTCAGAATTATTTCAAAATGTTATTTGTGATTGGAACATCTTTTATGATCTAGACCATTCACCACACACAAACAAGGAATAAATGGGGCAGTGAGTCTGTGATGGGTTTTCAGCCTGGAATCCCCCAGCCACTGACATAATTCTGAACAACGTGTCAGTATAAACAATTTCCTGACAGCAGATTATCATTAATGAGTTTCAGAACCTACTTTAGCTAGAGCGATATATGGCAGCTGTATGAAAATGAAAAGCCAGTATAGAGCTGGCTTCTGAACAGCTTTGAAAGCATATCATCGAAAATGACGCAGCAACAGGCGGCGATGTGGGGAGGGAAAGACACAGAAAACATAATAATATAGGCAAAGCAAGGCAATTTCGAAAGTGGAAAATTGACTTCATTCAGCAAACATAAAAAAGGCTTTTTGAAAAGGTAAATCTGTGCTGGGGTGGTAACTGAACGGCGCAGTGTTTGCCTGCTCTGTGCAAGACCGTCACTTCAATCTCCAGCATCATCTGAAAAATGTCAAATGGGGATTGGTGAAACTGCTCAGCAAGTAAAGGCCTCTGCTGCCAAGCCTGATGGCTTGAGTTGGATTCCTGGGCCCCACATTGTGGAAAAACACAGCTGACTCCCTCAAGTTGTCCTCTGACACACACACACACACACACACACACACACACACAATAATAGATGATAGATAGATCAAAGATAGATAGATAGATAGATAGATAGATAGATAGATGATAGAGAGAGATGATAGACAGATAGATAGATAGATGACAGATAGACTCTAGAGGAGATAGATAGATAGATAGATAGATAGATAGATAGATAAATAGATGATAGAGAGAGATGATAGACAGATAGATAGATAGATGACAGATAGATGATAGATAGATAGATAGATAGATAGATAGATAGATAGATAGATAGATGATAGATAGATAATAGATGAATGATTAATGGACAGACAGATGGTTCGTTGGGTAAAGTGCTTGCTGCACAACCATGAAGACCTGTATTTGGATCCCCAGCACCCACATAAAAGCCAGGCATGGCAGTGCATGTCTGTGACCATAGCACTGCGAGGGCAGAGATAGGAAGATACTTAGTACTTGCTGACCAGCCAGTCTAGCAAAATCAGCAAGTTCCAAGTTCAGTGAGAGATCATCTCCAAAAATAAGGCGGAGGGCTGGTAAAACGGTTCAGCAAGTAAAAGTGCTTGCTGTGCAATCCTGATGACCTGAGTTTGATGCCCAGGACCCAAAGCAGAAGCAGAGAACTGACTCCTAAAAGTTGTCTTCTGAACTGTCCATGTACATGGTAACACAGGCACACGCCCCCCAAAATATAATAAATGAAAATAAAAACACAAGGAGGGAAGCACTTGAGGAAGACACCTAATGTGAATCTCTGGCCTCTAAATGCACATACAACATACAACCACACACACACACACACACACACACACATACATATACACACGAAGTAAGAAGGTAAATCTTCATTTCAACAAAAGAATAATTTGGATGCTCCTTCAGCCTCAGGGATGATGACATCTCAGAAAAGATTTCTGTATTTTTACCAGGGACAAGCCCAGCTGTATGCAAACATTTCTTGCTCATTCTTTACATGTACAAAAATCAGAAAGGGAAAACTGAGCTGATTTTGAAACAGACACTATTTGCCTCTCATCTTACTAAGACATTCACTTACTACAGAGTTTTACTTGTTTTTTCCCAGATAAAGATATAATTTGGGAAGTAAATTTGATGATATCAAGCAATTGTTAATTGCATCATTGATTAGTCTGATCAAGATATAAAGACAGGATCAACAGGATGGCCCATCAGGAGAGATGTTTACTACCAAGACTGATGACCTGAGTTTGATTCCCTCAGCCCCACATTGTGAAAAGGAAAGAACTGACTCCTGTAGGTTGTCCTCTGACTCTGACCTCTACACACGCACCATGGTTTACATGCACACACAAAACGAATTTTTAAAAAAAGTGAAGACAAACAGTAATTTCATTAGACAATGTTCAAATCTCCCCCTGTTAATGGGCAGCACTTTTTTTGTATGAATTCACTACAGGAAATGTTAATGATTCATAGAACTCTGTTGTCCTTATTTAATTTGCTGATATGTATAAATAGTGCAAAATTTTTAAGTGTCCTTTTAAAATAAACTCTTTATTGCACAAAGATTTTGAGACCCATTTATACATTCATTAAATATTAAAATCTGATCAAACACACTCCGTGTTTCGGTTACTTTTTGCTTTGTTTTAGACAATTACTTCACACAAATTCACATGACCTAAATTTCTTTCCTATTATGTACTTTCCGAAAGACAGGCTCAATATTTTGCAGAGTGTCTTGTGTCAGTGGCATCTTATATTTGGGCAGAAGTAGTTCTCCTGCCTCTCTTTCCAACACATGGGAAAGAATTCTATTTCCCAGCCTCCCTTGCACTAGCAGAAACACATGGCTAACTTCTAGTCAAGAGATTCTGGGTAAACATGTCACTTATGTCTTCTGATCTAGAGCACTGAACTTCTGGTTCAAGACCCTCCAGGTCTGCTTTCCCCATTGTGACCAGCCTGGGATGCCACTGAGGGAGGGTAGAGTCACTCGGTGCAACAGTGCGCCTTGGCATCTGTCGGGACAACATATGACTTAGAAACATTGATGGTAATCAGGCTCTGAGATTTAGGAGTTCTGTCATGTCACCTCACTCTAGCCCACTCTGTCTTGTACAGTCATATTAAGCTTGACTGAAAATCTGCATAACTTGAAAGCTGCTCTATCTGTAGATTTATCTGTCGGCTGGGACAGCAAATTCCAGGAATAAACAGTCTAATAGATCTAGAGAGTCAGCACCATTGTTTCCTGAACATTCCAAGAAAATACGAGTCAATGAACCACTTTCAAAAGGATCAAACACCCAAAATCCTACCTGAATCAAGATCCCCATCTCCATTTGCAGAGCCAATATGCTTTTCCGCTGATGAGGATGAAGGGTCCTGCATTTTGGAAACTGACAAACGGCTCTCCTTGGCAACAAGTGAGTGTCCTCTTCCCTTAATTCATCATGTAGGAAGTTATCTAAGAGCAATCAAAAACAAAAATCAGGGCCTTTTTATTAGATTCAGCATATTAACCCATTTCTAAGCTCTCCCAAGGTAACAGAATCCTAGCAGAATAGCTGCCAACTCATTAGAATATTTCAGGAGCAGGGTAATGTTGCCTGTGGAAAATACCAAGGATAAGGACTAATGGCACATCTCTACACAAGGTCAACACAAAGGCCACAGCACAACAAAACTAGCACTTTTTAGAGGTCATTAACATGATAACATGGACACATTTTTCACCAACAATTACAACCTATGTTTCAATTCATCATCGTTAACATCGGACAAGATGTTACCTCTCCCTTGATACTGTAAAGTTGCAAACCCACCTCAGCCTCAGCAACCCCCACACAGGAAGTTCTACTTTATCACAGTGATTTGGTACCAGAATCAGTTAGATCCCCACCTTGAAATGCTTTATTTTTTTTTTAAACAAATTAGAAATAGGTATGACTTTCCCTGTAAATCCTGCAATCTAGTTCACTGACAGTAGAGTCCACAGGATACCAGGCACAGTCATTTCTAAGGACAGCTATCCCAGCTCTGGTGGAGAGACATAGCCATGTAGCATTTTTAAATGATTCGTTCATTTGGGGTTAAGGATGTGGCGCTGTTGGGAGAATGCTTGCCTAGCATGCAGGAAGCTCTGCGTTTGAGCTCCAGTACCACATAGACCAGGCAAGAAGGTACACACAAGTAATCCCAGCATACCAAAGTGTGTGTAGGAGGATCAGAAGCTCAAGGTCATTCTTGGCTGCACAGTAAGTTCAAGGACAGCCAAGGATACATGAGACCCATTTCAAAAAAAATACATATATAAATAACTAAATATAATTATACGTAATAAATGTGGTATTTTTATGTCACATGTACATAAAAATGTAAGTCAACAAAAAGGACTAGGCTAGGTAAAGAAAAGGAAGAGTATGGTACATGTATACCTCATATCAATGGAACAGTACATAGTTCACATATTGCTAAGTTGTTGAGCACACTTCTTAGAGCATACACACACACACACACACACACACACACACACACACACACATCCCATGTATTCCTGTAGGTATTTAGTTTACTTTCCTGGAAAACATTTGGGTCTTCTGTCAGCTAAAGGAGCAGAGAATGTGAGTCCTTTGTTCAGTGGCCAGGAAAAAGATACAGACAGCTTCGGAAAGCCAGGAAGAGGCTGAATAGGCCAGGTACCCAGTGCTGGAATTGAATTATCCACTTGGTATATACAAAACACACCAAACTCTATAGAGAGAAGCCCGAGCTATTTCTCGATCTGAATACAAAGGAAGAAAATACCTGTTTCAGAACAGGGATTATAAAACTGCCTGGACTCGTTCATTAAACAGTAATCTAGACAATTGTATATGCAAAGATAAGTTCATGAATCAACAAGTAAGTGGCAATGAAAGATAAAGGCACCTCTACAGAACCAGGTAATCTTTCATTCGTTCAACATTCTCCTAGCATAGAGGCTTCTGCTCCTTTCTTTTTTTTTTTTGGCTTTCAGCTTTTTGAAACAGAGTCTCCCTGTGGCCCCAGCTGGCCTGGAACTCACTATGTAGCTCAGGCTGGCCTCCATTGCACAGAGATTCATCGCCTCTGCCTCCTAAGTACTAGGATTAAAGGTGTGTGCTACCACAACCAGTTTGATTTATTTCTTTTTATGTGTATGAGTGTTTTGCCTGCATGTAAGTACATCCGTGTCATTCAATGCCCATGGAGGACAGAAGACAGCATTGAATCCCAACTGGAGTTATGGATAGTTGTTAGCCACCATGTGGGTGCCAGAAACCAAACCCCAGTCATCTGCAAGAGCAGCCAGTATTCTTAACATTAAGCTAAGCCATCTCTCCAGCCCCAAGGTTTCTATTTTCTGACCAAAAAATAAAAAATAAAAAATTGAAAAATGAGGGTAAATTGTCCAAGAAGTAAGAGTGAACATCAGTGATGCAAAAAATAAATTAAATCAGTGGCTGAGGAGATGATTCAGTGCAAGACTGAGGACCAGAGTTTTGATCCCACAGATCCCATGTTAATGCTGGGTGGGTGTGGCATCAGAGACAGGGGATCCCCATGGCCAGCAAGATCAGCCATATTGGAGAGCTCTGGGGTTGACTGAAAGACCCTGCCTCAGTGAATAAAGTGAAAGAATGATGGAGGATGATTCCTGACATCAACCTTAGGCCTCCACATGCAGACATAGACCCATGCATAACACACATACACACACACACACACACACACGCGCACACACACACACACACACACACACACACACACACACACACGAAGATGGGGAAAAATAATTAAAATAAAAAGAAGGCCGGGCATATTGGCAGACACCTTTAATCCCAGCACTTGGGAAGAAGAGGCAGGCGGAGTAAGTTCAAGGCCAGCCTGATCTAGTGAGTTCCAGGCCAACTGGGGCTACAGGGAGACCCTGTCTCAAAAAATCAGAAACAAACCAAAAATGAAAAAAAGAAAGAATTTAAATCAGTGCTGCCTCAGAAAATGTGAGCACTATGAGTAAGAGGCAGTGTATAAGACACAGATTGGTTCCTTTGGTTTTGAAAATTTATATGAAATATTAGTAACTGGTAATTGGCCTAAAGATCCATGCACTCTCCACTGCGTTGTGATGTGAGAAAGCAAGTTAGCTGCTCCTCCTCTCAGTCCTCTGCAAAGCTACATAAGACAGTTGCTGCGGACTGAATGTGAAGTACTCCCCGCAGGCTCATGTATGTGAACACCTGATCCCCAGGTGGTGGAGCTGTGGAACCTTCCAGACATGGGGCCATGCTGGACCCAGGTCACCAGAGAGGAGGTCACTAGAGGTAAGCTTTATATCTCCAGTTCTGGTCTAGGTCAATGTGTTCTGCTTGGCCCCATGTAAGTAACTGCCTCTGCAAGCTCCCAGTGCCATGGACAGGAGACACCCAGATGCCATGTCTCTGCCACCATGACAGAGTTTACCCTCTGAACCATGAGCCAAAATAAATCCTTCCTCTTTAAGTAGTTTCTATCAGATATAGCAATGAAGAACAAACTAGAACAGTTCCAGTGTGTTTCTAGTTATTATTGACCTCTTTTTGTGTTTAATTTATGTTACACTTTAATATATAGATATGTGTGTGTGTGTGTGTGTGTGTGTGTGTGTGTGTGTATGGTATAAACAGCCTTGATTTATACCTGAATGGAAAGTTCAATCGGAAACATCACCAAATAAGGAAACACACTGGATAGAAAATGGGGTCTGGGATTATTTGCAATGGAAGACATGGGCAAACCCAGCAATTTGCCCTCAGGCTGCTAACTTTATCCTACTCACATCAGTCTGTTAAAATGACCCACACAAAGGGTCATTGCAATATTCAATTTGACAGGGATGTCTGAATTTGTGGAGACCACTTCTTTCACAAACCTGAACCCCTCCCCTCTGAGAGGCAGGCACTAACATCACCAAACACCAAACAGAATACCAAACACCGAATTCCAGCAACTGGAGCACAGGGAAGGGGCCCAGGGGTCTGGACCTCATCTCTGATACCTCCAGAGGTGTCCCTTTATGGAACTGCACACAGTAGAATGAACAGGACTACAAGAGACTCACAAGCTATTGTGCCCTGCTTCTGCGGACTTGTGGGCAGCAGTACCCACAAGTATCTCAACTGCCATGGGCTTTCAGGAAGAATCGCTAATATAATCTGCAGACCAGCCACTAACTGGCCACAAAAATGGCAGTTAAACTGCCCATGGACTAGAGACGTAGCTCAGAGGTAGGGTGCTTGCTTGCCTGGCATACACAAGAACGAGGGTTGGGTCCCAGCACTGCAAGAAATTAATTAACTCTAGGTAAACAAATATTGATAATGTATAATTTCATGCTGTAGATCATTTCATTGTGTATAAATTAATGGAATATTTGATTCATAGATGCAGAAGCATCCATGAGGACCGGGCATCTGGGACTGATGAACAAAACTAGCGGCTTCCATAAAGGAACAACAACCCAAGTCCAGGATGGAGCCAAGTCACTAGAGAAGTAAATACGGTGCAGGGTAGGGATGCCGAGGAACAGAAAATCAGAGAGGCTCAAGGGGAAATGTCCAGGGCGTCAACAACAAGAGAACTCCAAAAAATCAAATGGGAGCCTCGGTTTAAGAGACTCAGAAAAATACAAAAGATATTAAACAGAGACGCACCAATAGCAAACGGTGAGGCAGAGCCATGTGGAAATTCTAAGGTGGCTCAATGTCAAGCGGATAAACAGAACTCTGAGCGAATGGCACCTTCCTCATTCATTCCCAACTAAGGACTGACCTCCTTAAGCCCAGCACTGTTCTAGGTACATCTAGAGCAAAAGAAGCATTTTTACCCTGGTACATTCTAAGGGACAGAAAGGAACAATCAAAATTTTTAATTCGAAAATTATACAGTCTGTCGGGTGTGATCAATGCTTTAGGCATAAAAATAAAGCAGGAATGATTAATGGAGCAAGAGAAAGAGTGGTAATTATTCAGAGGTCCTGAGCCTGGGAGGAGGGGGTGAGAACAGAGAGGTGACTGAGCCCAAAGAGAGTGACTGCCGTACTAAGGATCAGAACCTGCATGTCGTTTCATAGGTAGGACTGGGCACTGCAGGAGGGCGTTCCAGAAAGTGAGGTAACCAGATTTCTTTTATACATAAAAGTCATTGTGGTAGGGTCTGGGAAGATGGCTCAGTGAGTACAAGTGTCACACAAGTGTGAGAACCTTAGCTCTGATCCCCAGAACCCATACAAACCTGCAATCTCAGTGCCCCTAAGGCAAGGTGGAGCAGGAGGGGGTGGGCAGAGACAGGAGAATGTTTCTAGAAGCTCACAGGCCAGCTAGCCTGGTGTGCACTCCAGAAAACAAGAAACTCTCAAACAAGGTGGAAGTTAAGCACTGGCTCCTGAGGTTGTCCTCTGACTTCTTT